AACACATTAGGTTGTATTAAGCACAGTCTGTACTGATAGGGCACCACTATCGCATCCACTTATGCTAACCTAACAATCGAGCGCTTTAGCGCGAGCGGAAGATGGTACTAACACGTTCGAATGAAGGAGACGCGTCATTGACCAAGCGAGATAACAAGTAAAAAACTCCCATCATGATCCTTGCGACAGCCATTAAAGAGGAAGATAGGAGCGTAGCAGAAACGTTGGGTCGCATACAGCAACCTTCCACAAGGTCACCCAACGGGGTGCCAACTTCTTTCAGGGTGCACCTCTCTTGGCTAGTTTATACCCATTGTCGTCATAAAGCCCCACACAGAAAAAACGCTTTCACAAGTCAGAGCAATCGACTATCGATGAGTTTTATGCACAACTCAACTCGCCGCCATAAAGACTGGTCTATCTGCGTAAAGTCACCTGTTGAACATTCTGCAGGATATATTCTTAAATGTTACCTCAGCAAACCACGAGGTTCGACTCCAAGGTGGTCACATAGGATAGTCGAAACATAAGGGCCAGTGGCTCCATGCATAGAGTCAATTAACACCTCAAATCGTTTCCCAGTGAGCTGACCAGAGATAAGTGATTTGATCTGAAATGAAATATGAAATTGGGGGTGAAAGTTCATGGAACAAGAACCACTGAGTACAACTCTAAGTAGAAGCGCTGTGGAAGACTTGTAAAAGAGGACATCAGTAAACTGGGATCTCTGAGAAAGCTCAACAAAGATTTGTCTCCCACGATCAAAAACCCACCTCTCACTAAATGAAGGATAGTCGACCTGCGCGCATGAACTAGTTCTATCAGATTCCAATATTCAGACTTAAAATACCTTCCACCAAATATTCGGCAATCCACCTTTTAACTCCGTAGCAAACGTTCCTACTCTCAGCAAGAGTATGACTCTACGGTCCCCTACAAGATCCCTGATCCAGGCGGTCTCTTTTCCGTTTTCTCCGGTTGCGGGCTCTGGGCTCCAGATATGAGTTCGCAGATGATAAATGACTCACAGTGAGGAAAAGGTGGGCGGAAACCGTCAAAAACGCCCAAAATAAACCACAGCATTGAACGAATCTTCAAAACGCGAGATAGTGCTCCGAGGGCGAGGGACCATAGACAACGGGTGATAGAACAGGAAAACGAGCGAAACGACGAAGGTGGGTCTTACGAAGAACGAACGCAACACGCAGTGATTGTACAGCAGTGATTTTACATACCGGCGAAAAGCCACGTGGGCGTGGACTTGGTTCCCTTCTAATCAATGCATGAAACTACTGCTCGAACTTGCTCATGTCAAAACACCCCCTTTGGAAGCATCATTGGACCAATTTATCTTTTAACAAGATTGGGCTTCTACCATGGAGGCAAAACCACGTCAAAGATATGGCGCACATAAGTTTTCGTCACCCAACAGATGTAGGACGCTTACATATGTTGTTCAGAATGAAAGACACCTTCGCCTTGTAAGTTCCGCAGTCATTCCAGGAACTGTGGAGGCCGCAAGGGTGGAACAGCCTCTGACTGCATACCAAACTAGTTGGGACAAGGGTACTCAAATCAGGTAATCGCAAAACTGGTTTCCAACCCTCGGAATACATATCTTTGAGCACACGAGCGTCCCACAGAGCTCACCCCTAGATTGTGCCACTCCCATTCGCATAAAATCGTGAAACAGATCATGTAGTTTATAGCTTCCAGTTTCACATGACCAATCGGTAGCGAAGCGAGGAGATGCCATTTTACACGCAGGATTATCAAAGACGCCCAGGGCCTTGCCTCGCCATTCCCGTCGGCTGTTTCCCAGTAATGAACCCTATGACTCTACAAGAGACATTGAATGCATCCACTCCATGATACTTGCCCGGGAGCATTACTTTTGGCTAGAAGGCCGACTTTGGAGACGGAGTCACTGGAAAAAGAATGTACCACTGAAGCAACCTTGGGCCTTTACCCCTTACCGTACAGCTTTCCGCTCCAGCAACTGTGGTCGCCTAGCGGCTCTCACTAAACGGTGTTGCCGCGCCAAACAGCCCCCTCCCGCCCCCTCCCTATAGAACCGCTGAGCGCTGCGTTTATTACTTTGCGGCCAGCGTAGCGTAGCGTAGCGCCCTTAAGCGTACGGCCACGCCGGCGAGTGCTGCGGGAGGATCATATCATCTAGCCTTCTCAACGTCCAACTAGACGTCCACGCTAGCGTTACGATCGATATGGCATCTCTTCCGCAGCACTTCCGCTGCGGTACGCTGGAAGGCGCTACGCTACGCTATACCGCTGGCAAAGTATAAAACGCAGCCTTAGCGTCCGTAGCTAACAAGGGCTGTATACGGACGACTCTCTGACGATACACGATTCGCGCCAAAGGTCAGGATAGACTCAGTGATCAACTATGTCCATTGCCAAGCATTCTTCTGCAAAGAAAACGTGCAATGAGTAGGTAGCCCCGGAACCATATCAATTCTCACAGCGTGGACGCTCATCTCGACTCGACAGTTTTCCCAAGTCGCGGATTCTTGACATTCACAAGGTATTAACGCGGTCTAACGAGACCTTCCTTTTTAATGAATCCTATCCTCGTCTCCGACGATGATCCCAATCATTCGTCGTCTAGCCACCTGAGACGACTCTCTGGAGCCAACCCCGCCCCTAGTTGGGTCTCGCCAGGTATGGAGTTCATTCTTCCTCAACTCGTCCTCAACGACGATATGTGGGTTGACTTTATAATAATCAGTCATTGATCACTTGTTGTTATCTCTTTGCTATAAAGAACCACTGAACCACCTCCACAGTTTCTTTGAGAGAGCTGCACTACATAGAGCGAAGAAGCACCTTACCTTCCCGAAGTCGAAGATTTTCTGCATTAGCTCCACATAGTCTTCACAGAGTCAATACTCTACCACAAAAGTCAATATTTTCTATGTCGAATTCAGTTCTGAAAGGAAGGAGACTTTACCAGTCATAAACAAGAACTTGTTACGAAGCTAACCTTCCAATTTGGGAGAAATCACACTGCAAATCAGGGCAGATCGAGTAGGTGGATATATGTGTTGTGTTAGCATATATGGCATTTGTTACCTTAAATTCAACAAATAACATCTCAGCCTTCTCATGATTTATGGCACAGTTTAACTAAGAGATAAACAGTAGAATCGATTAAAAATTCGACATTCTTATTATGTTACAGTCATGTAGAAACGCGCAATTCAGGTATTTGGCGATCTATCGTGGCTCGCTACAGTGGTGGGCGTGGTGCTTCTGCGATGAAACGCCAGCCTTTGCTAGCTAAGGTACTAGCTGTCTTTTATTCCTACTACTATATGCGTAAGATCCCCCCTCATTACTCTGAAAAAACACAGCCGAAAACAGGAAAGAAAACCCCGTGTTCCAAAGCACAGTTCGGCGATTAGGGCGGGGCAGCTCTGAGACTGCGTCATGTTCGCGATTCGGATCGCTCCATTGGATGCCGCAACCACACCGGGCGCCAGGAGGCGCGCGCGCATTTAGCGCAGAATTACAATGGGGCTGCCGCGTTCAAAACAGAGTCAATCGAATGGTCCTAGCCCCCGGTCGGTGTAAGCGTGACGCTTGAATCACGCCAATCCGAGCAATCTGTGCACTCCAAATTCGAGCAATGCCGATCGCGCGCATCTGAAGTTGAAAACACGGTGTGACATTGCTGTTAACGACTTACTGCGCACGACGAGAGCGGTGCGACCATGCTGGCTCACCATAAAATCGCCCGGTCTTCTCGTGATTCATACGCTGAATAACTCACGCCGTCAGGGGCTGGTCCACCATTCTCGCAGTTGAACTTTATTCCAAAATCAGCTTTAGGACCTCCTGGATTGTGGCTGGCCGTGAGAATTATTCCTTAACATCAAAAGTCAGACGGAAATTAGATCACTGGTGAACGGAAAGTGTACCTCCATCAATTTTCTTTCCCTGGAACCCTTTCCTGATCAAATTGGAAACAGCAGGAGTCGACAGGAAACCATTCTGCCCAATAATTAAATGGCTTACCTCAAATCAGTAAATATCATAAGAAAACACTACGTTTCAGGCCATTCACCGACATTAATTAAGAATACTCTACTCACCCCATTTGCAGCTGAAATTTTGATTATGACGTTTACAGCCTCTTTGCACAGGAATCTCCCATCGCCACCAACGACCAGGGTAGCACCCTTCTTCCTTTGATCCTAGACCGCCATCCAAAACGCACTGTATGAAGTTCTCAGTATAGTGTTGCTGTTGGAATTCAGGAACCTATAACAACAAAGATACTCGTTCAGTAATCAGCCATCAGTTTACCTAGCAAACTGCCGGCCGTGACGTGATGACATAAATAATAAGACTTTAATAAGATTTTATATAGTATTTTGATTGCTACAATCCTTAATACACTTTTCTTATCCAAGTTTTAGAGGGGGGTGACTCAAAGAAGTAGCTTAGTTTCCGTTTCGCACGTGCCCTTAGACGGAAACCAAGCAGTTTGTAATATCCTCCTTCTGTGCTCATCAGTAAGGGAAAGGAGGAATAAGGTGTTTATCGTGATAATTTAACTATTATATGAACTTAGTAAAAGTTAGTAAATGTTCTTTCAACATAATTTACTTGTTCTTGTTAAACATAAAACAACGAACATAAAACTGAGCCAAGAAGCCTCAACGGTAGGTAGTTTCGGGTTCAAGCATTAGCGATTACCCTTGAAGGTAAAGGGCAGGCGCATTACGCAGGCGTTGAAATTTGCGGCCTCATGCTGCCTTATGAAGAGTTCGCCGCGATAGAAAAACCACACTGCACCCTCATATACTTTTGTAACACCCCATTCTAGCTGCTACTATCTATGCGAACATTGGAAAATTGTCAAGTTATTTACGTGTTAAAAATAATGAGATTCTCTAGATGTTACGCTCCCAAGGGCTGCTCGACAACGTCAGAACCATAGTGCTGAATATTTTCCAGAAATGAATGCCTTGCAATTGAACTATGAGCATTCTACTAGAAAAAGTTACGTTTTTGGGTCAAATGTTCATGAAAAGTTGATACAGATGTCAAAGAGATCTCAGTGCTAGTCGTCGAAAAGATGACATAACAAAAATATATTCATGTCCCACTCCTTCCCGCTCAACCGTTCCAAAATGTGAATAGAAGACAATGAACATTGGCACTTATGCCATGTTTCAGTATTACCGCTTTCAGTTAAGTGATAAAAAATATGACCTTCAAGGAGTTCTGTGGTTGCTTACATAACGCCTCTTGGGCTCTATTCCACTAATACAACTCCAAAAACTCGAAGTTTCGCGAAAACTTTGCCTGTAGGAATTATTCGGTATCTTGGGTGGACGCGAATATGATATTCATTCTTGCCCCTGGCAAATTTCTCACCAAAATCGCGGGGAGATTTGCATGCGGGGGTTATTTGATACCCTGACCACGAAAACGACATTCATTCTCGGCGCCGGCGCTAACGTAGGGCACACTGGTCAAATGCGCTCTGCGGACGATGAGCCTATCAGGAAGGAAATTACTCCTCGACACAGTCTTAGCAGAATGCTAAATTGCACTGTTGTCGAAAAGTGAAAGTCCACACTGGTCATCTGCGCTCTGTGAACCTATCAGGAAGGCAATTACTTCCCTCTCACAGGCACAGCCTTATTGTTAGCAGAGCGCTAAATTGCACTGTTGTAGAAAAATGAAGGTCAGGTTATTAATGAATTCTAATGTTTTCATCGCCTTGGTGAAGAAGATGGGCGCGCCAAATAAAGCCAGCGGCAAAAACGAATGCCACATTTGTGATCTGGGGAATAACTTCCCTACGCAGAGTTCTAGCGAAGAAGAAAAAAATTTCGAGTTTCTTGGATTCGTAACAGAAGTGCAAACCGCTGCATTATCAATTATTCGTCTCCACCTTTGATTTTTGTTGTATATTTTTGATGTTGCTGCACGGAGCGTGAGATATTTATTGACCTTTAGAGGGCTTGACGATTC